ATTTTGTATTTTAAACTAAAGGGACTTTTGCTGCCACTGCCATGCTTCAGCATATCCATGTAATTTCTTTCAAACTGATCTTTGTTTTTGAATAGTTCTTCAAATTATTCTTTATTAATAATGCCCATTCAACTTAAACCTCATACTTGGATCCTAATAAATCAAAAGATAAATATAAGCCTGTCATTATTAAAATTCTCACATCATGAGATTATAATAATACACAAAAATCATGAAGTAAGTCCTATTCAAAACTGACCAGTTCTTTTTTCAGCATGATACCCAGTGTTGGGGTCTAAATTTTCCAAGGAATGCAAAGAAGATAAGAGGTCAAAGTTAAGACCAATACAGGTTTGGAAAATAGCAACTTGGAAGCAGGGCCATGAAATGCATGTGCAAAGGTGATGTAGTACACAACTCTTGCCTAACTATACACAGTGGTCCTGCTTGGAGGGTTACTTAAGCAATTCCCTGATAATCTAAAGATTTTTAAGACAATACAAAGAATAAAAACGAGCTTCTAAATCATTTTAGATTTAGGAGGCCTAACCAGCCAAGGAGGATACAGAAGCTTCTTCCCTTTAGATGTTCAAGAATGCAATAGACATTGATATTTCTGTCTAGTTCTTTAGAGAAACAGTATCAACTGAAAAGAGGAGAAACAGATAACCTAACTGGTAGGTTCACTTTAAATGCCTTCCAATTCCAAGTGTCTACTTGAAAGACCTAACTGCACCATATAATCTCCTTTCAAATCTGCAGAATAAACACAAGTTTAAACTACAAATGAATACTTAGCGATAGTCTTAAAAGATAAATCATTATGGAGACATTTTCATTCTTGGCTAGTTTGAACCTAAACAGGAAAGGTCAGCCAGGAACTCCATGACTCAGGTTTCAGGGGTCATGGATTTTAATCCCAGCCCCACTGTGATGCTCCCGGAGCTATCGGAAGCAGCAGCCCACATGCTCCCTACTTTCAGGTGGCTCAACGGGAGGAATGATGGCTATGGCTTCTATCAGAGCTTCTATCCAAGAGAATCACCTGTTTGGGCACAGAGAAGTAGGCAGTAATTGTGGCCAAAGAGAGCTATATCAGGCTGGGGCTGCGCCCAGATGTTCAGGGCTGAGACAGGTGCCAACACTGGCTGACCTTCCTTTTTTGCTCCTTGGCCTAATCCCATTGGCTGGCGGTGCCGGCACCAGAGATGTGTGCCAAACCCCAGCTCCTGGTTGGACTGATTGGTACTTAAGAATAGAACCCCCACATTCTTTAATGTAAACAGCAAAACATTATGAATTTGTCGTTTCAAGAGAATGCATTAATGGAAAAACATGTATGCCAAAAGTTGTTGCTGGAAAATGAACACTGTTAAAAAAAATACTCTTCTTTCTGTAGAACAGAAAGGTTTAAATTCTTCTTAATCTATGTTTAAGACTTAAAATGTAATAACAACAACCAAAACAGAAACAAACACATGAAAACACCTAAAGTTAAAATAAGCTATTGACCTCTCATTTTACTTTTTCAATTTCTAAAAATTTACCCTATGGAACAATTTCCAGACTCTCATATAAAAATCAAACAAACTGGCCCAAGACAGATACAACTAATTACTTCCTTTTCTACTTCGATGCTTTTATAGAATCAAAATTCTACCTATTAGAGCTATTTATAACAAGCAATAAACAATGTATTTACTTTTTGTTGACCTATACTCTGACAGGAAAACTTTTCTATGCAACTCCAAATGGATACAGATTTATAAACTCAGTGGTAAAGTCAATCATTGCTGTCCCAAGTATACCAGTTTTAATGCACATTTACTACCCGTATCTGTGATCACTTTTATCTCAAGGACGAAAATTCCCAAAACAAAGGCGACTTCAGCCCGATGGTGGGCACTTTGATAGCAGGAGGAGTATCTTATTCATCTTTTCATTATTGGTGTTTAGCCCAATGTAAGTCCTCTCAATGTCGGT